GTGAGGTTATCATCATTTTGACACACCATTATCTATAATTCATTCATATGTCAGGCTTTCAATTCATCTCTATTAAAGACTCATTTGTTCTACAATAAAAGCCAATGTAGCTCATGCTAATACAAATTAATTACAATGGTTAAGCCCCTACCAATAATTAATATTCTTTACAATTTGAATTAATTTGTATGCATTTGTTTTCAAATTACGGTTTTCCCATATGAAAACTACTGATTTGTATCAAATAAGATTTATAATAAGATATCTGCGTAACCATTTTATGTAATTATTTTTTATCTGAAGGTAGCTATAAAAATAAGGAGATGTAGTATGATTGCCAATGAGACAACTATCCAGCAAAGTTCAAATGAAGTGGATGTACTTCTCCAAGCACTATCACAAGAAATAATTATGTATCCAACAGTTCCTGAAAAGTGGTTTTACATAGAGTTTTTCTACAACATATGATACATATTGGTTAATAATTTAACATATATACTTTGTTAGTCTTGTATTATTTTTAATTTTAGTTTCTTGTGTACAATTTGGAGTTTAGTATGGCGTTCATTATCACTGAACTAGTATATATATTTGTTTAGGGGCCAGCTGAAGGACGCCTCCGGGTGCGGGAATTTCTCGCTGCATTGAAGACCTGTTGGTGGCCTTCTGCTGTTGTCTGTTCTGTGGTCGGGTTGTTGTCTCTTTGACACATTCCCCATTTCCATTCTCAGTTTTATATATAAACTGAATACCTTTGTAATTCAGAAAATAATTCTAAGTCTAAAACAGGTTTGGTTTCCACCTATTACACTATATCTTCTGCCATTAATTGATTCCTATTTTTGTGAGTTACATGTACACACACTGTATTAAAACTCATACGAGTAGTCTATTTGCCAATTCCGTAATTGACCCTGTGATTAGATATCCATTTGTACAGTTGTTTCCCTTAGGGACAAATTGACCCTGTACTTAGATATCCATTTGTACAGTTGTTTCCCTTAGGTTTTATGAGTATTGCCCAGCCCAGTGGGAAATACTGGGAAAACCCGGGTTTTACTGAGTTTTACCGGGTAATACTGGGCAATACTGGGTAATATGAAATACTGGCCTGAATTTTAAAGAGGATTAATCACAAATGCAAAACATTAAAGATTTTTATAAAAAAAAAGATATAGTATTTTAATTTATAAGTAAATCTGAGAAAATATTAATTGTCCAGCAACTCTAAGAAAAGTGAACATGAAGGCACATAAGACAAATGTGAAATGTACACCTCTGAGGAGCCAAAAATTTCTAGAATTAAACTTTTTTTCTTAACCTGATTTTTGGGTTTATATGAATGTAAAAAAAAACTGGTGAAGAAAAAATCTTATGGTGGTGCACTTCTTTTTTTGCTACGGCCCTTTGAAAGTACCCAATTTTGATGATTTTCCCATTTTTCATCAATTTTTACCTTTTTTTGGGCTATTATCGTGAAAAAAATCACAGTTCCACAATTAAACTTTTTTTCATACTTTCAATAAAGATGAAGTGGACCAATCTGAATAAATCTAACTAAAAAAAACTATAGGTAGGTGTTAATATAAGAAAGTTTTATCATATTTTGATGTTTTTTTGTGTCAAATTTACCATGCTGTCAATTTTGTAAATTTGTGATTTTTCTCAGTTTTAAGAACAAAATGCATATTATTTCAACTTTTTTGTTATAAATGATTGAAAAAATACATATCTAAGAAATTTGAAAAGAAAAAAATGATATGGGATGTACATGATTCTGGTAAAATAATTTTTTGTACCCCTCATTCATTTTCTCAAAATTTTGGCTAGAATGTCTGACTTGATTGGTCGTAAAATTTGAAAAACTGATTACTCAATAACTACTCTTTGTAAATACACAATTTTTTCACAGAGTTAAGTTTACTTATAACATTTTTAAAATTCATTGATATTTTCCACTTGTATCACATGTTTTGGAAATAATTCCAGAACGAGATTTCAACGAGACTGAAACGTCAGAAGAATACATCCTTAATAACCCTTCTTTAAAAATCTATCTAATCACCATTCTGTCTAGATTGGTCAAAGTGTTGACTTAAAGTTGAAGAATTCAATTTGTTTTTTTTTATTAAATATAACTAATATTAAGATTTAACAATTATATGTAAGGAGAATTACTTTTAAACATTTTTTGTTCATTTCTAAAAATGTTAAGTAAGTTTTAGCATATGTTTATGTACATCACTAATTAATAAGTAATTATTCAGATTATAACACAGATTTGTTTATATAACAATAATCAGCCTTTTGATTTCTATAAGTGTTCATGGCCTGTCCCCCTGTCCCCTTAGGGTGTTTATTTAGCAATATGATTGTATAACAATTAAAATTTACAATTCACTTAAACACTGCAATAAAATGCACTTTTTCAAAGTTTCAAATTGGATTATTGAATCAAAGCTTGGAAATTAACAAGGTATCCTGAAATGTGCAAAACTTGTATTCTGCCTACATAGAATTAGTGGAAAAAAGGAAGAAATTGAATTTTCAATCTTCAGGAATAAAAAAATAAGCTTGAAAAATCATATTACCCAGTATTGCCCAGTATTACCCGTTTCTGGGAGTATTGCCCAGCCCAAGAAAACCCAGGTTTTCCCACCCGGGTTTTCCCGCCCGGGTAATACTTTGCCAACCCTGCTTAGGAGAAACAAATTGACCCTGTAATTAGATATCCATTTGTACAGTTGTTTCCCTTACGAGGGACAAATTGACCCTGTACTTAGAGATCCATTTGTACAGTTGTTTCCCTTAGGAGGGACAAATTGACCCTGTACTTAGATATCCATTTGTACAGTTGTTTCCCTTAGGAGAAACAAATTGACCCTGTAATTAGATATATCCATTTGTACAGTTGCTTCCCTTAGGAGAAACAAATTGACCCTGTACTTAGATATCCATTTGTACAGTTGTTTTCCTTAGGAGGGACAAATTGACCCTGTAATTAGATATCCATTTGTACAGTTGTTTCCCTTAGGAGGGACAAATTGACCTTGTACTTAGATATCCATTTGTACAGTTGATTCCCTTAGGAGGGACAAATTGACCCTGTACTTAGATATCCATTTGTACAGTTGCTTCCCTTAGGAGAAACAAATTGACCCTGTACTTAGATATCCATTTGTACAGTTGTTTCCCTTAGGAGGGACATACATTTTCTTGCCAATGAAGAACAAACATACAGAGCATTTTTTTCTGTGCGTAATGTGTGTAATCTGTAAGTTTTTATTACATTTATCTTTTACTAAGGTAAGAATTTTTAACTCAATTTGTCCAGTAAAGAACCAGTCTACAATTCCCAAAGGGAAACAACTTATGTTAAAGGTGTGTAATAAAAGAATCAAATCGGTAATTTGCAAATAGACTACTAAGACAAACAGATGTAGGTTAGAGGATAAAAAGACTAAGAAAGTTATAAAATCACAGGTTACCAAAAAATGCTGCAATATTTTGATATTACATGTATGAGGGTCTAGATGGGGTTAGCAGAATAATGGGAAATATCTACAGAGAAAAGGGCCCGAAAAATTAAGAATAGAGAAAAATAGGTCAGAACAATAAAGAATAGAGAATAATGCGGTGGTAAAATATGAAGGAAAATGACCTAAAAAATTAAAGAATACAGTAATGAAGGACTCCCATCCAGACCCCTCATGTATGTTTGATCGTATCCATGAGATTTTTAAAGACAAGGAATGTTTGCATAAAAGAGTTTGTTTATATATCAATGGGACAGTAACCCAACAAGTTAACAATAACCAAAACTCATGATGTGTTCTAAAAGTTATTCTATTGTTTGACATATATATCACAAAGCAAGTAAAAGCAGGACATGATTTATTTGTTCAAGTGGTTCATCCGCATACTTCTAGCTTATTATTATTGTGAATGTTATTTTCATGGAGATTTTGACTAATTTCATTTCATATCTATATTCATAAAGGCTGCTTGTCTGTTTCTTTTTTTATAAATGTGGCAACAAAAATGTTTTCTGCTTCAGTAAATATTCATCCTTTTAGTCAAATTTGATTTTCACACTTCTCTGTCAACAATGTCAGCTTGGTAAATTCACCATTACTTATTGATCACACTCAAATACATCAAGGAAGAAAATGGCAACATGTTGAAATTATCTATATATCTACCAGTATTTGAATATGTAATTTAACATTTGAACAGTTAAATAACTATAATTTACAATAAAAAGCATTAGACCCGTACTTTTATTGGGACAAATATACCATGTAATTAATTAAAGCCACTTCAAAGTAACTTTTCGATGACATCAAATTTACATGATCATGACTGTTTAACGAAATGTTTTTCCCTAAGTACTATCTTCACTCCATTCCAAACATAAAAGAAATTGAAAATCTAAAGTTTAAATTGCAGAGAAAAACTAAATCAAACAGTTGTTTCAGCTCAAATAAGCTCAATGAGGTCAAACTTTCTACAGAATTTGAGGGCCAGGAAAAAATTAGCATATAATTTCAGTACATTTATGATATTTTACCATCCAAGTATTCTTTATACAAATAATTCAGTAAAAATATCAATAATTACATAAGAACTGTTTGTTTGCCATGAGAAAATTGTACATATGACTTCAGTGTTATTGTTGATGCATTCATGTGTTTTTAACAACAATTTGTTTTTGTGGTGTCCAATGTTTTTCAAGTGTTGGAAAGGAAACATTCCTTGATAAGATTCTAGGACATCTGCTAGTATGCATTTTTTATTAGGTCTTAGTGAGTTAAACAAGACCTTTATTAAGTTCCTACATCTACATCTACAACAGAACATTAATTCCAGAGAAAGAGTGGGAATCAGAGTCTACAGTCTACATGGTCTATAACAATAATAAAGGCCAAGAAGACTTAAAATTGAAAGACTGTAGTGAGTTGAAACCTTTACATCAATATTTTTAACAAAATAGTACTTACGGTCCAGGTGAAGGCTGAGCATCAGATTTCAGAGCTTTCTTGATGTATTTTGGTCCTAGTGAGCTAAATGAGGCCTCAAGTGTTTCCACATCAATACCCTGTACAATATCCTCCACTGGTGGTAAATCACCACTTATTCTGTTTGTTATTAAGGCCAATCAATGCTACATTGTCAAAAGCTGGAAATTTAAAACTCATGTTTTCTTCCCTTTAGTTAAAAGTTAAATACACCCATTTCAATTGGCCTACTCACTTAAAGTACAAAGCTGATACTGTGTTTCCTTCTATTGAAAGAAATTTAACAGTAGAAATCATTTACACTTTGGTTAAATATACCATAAACAAGTTCCAATTGAACTACAAGTCAAAATTAATATGCTGTAATTTTAGCTACTCATTTCAAGGTCAAATTTAAGCATTGTATATTTCCCCTTACTGATGAACAGATTGTCCACATGTAATTCATTTCCAAACATCTTTCTAATAGTTATCTTACTCTGAAATGGGTAATCAGATAATGAAAGCTTTCAATGGTATTTTCAAATGCAGTGTATATGTTATCCAATTATCTTGCAAGTAGTAAATTTTACTAAAATAGTACAGATGTTGTTATAAAAATTGTTAGTCATTGAAATAACTGTTGAAAAAGTGAAAGAGCTAGGATCAAATCTTTTGTGCATTTCAAACATTTTTTTTTATATGATACAACAAATTTCTTTATGAAAAATTGCTATGGACACCAACAACCTATTTTTGGAGTAAATTCTTATTTCTGCTTTCTTTACAAAATATGTTTAATTTTCAAACTAAAAATTTTGGTCATTATCAGTATGTAGAAGCCCTTTGTAACAGATACAAATGTTATCATTTATCATTTACAAAGGATACTTTTGTGCTTTTGCCTGATCAAACTGTGAGTATGCTGATATCAACTCTGCCAGTATACGTGGATCCTTAGGATTAGATCTTAAAAAAAAAATATATATATTATTTATGCAGTGTACTGATATTTACTCTGCAAGTAAACATGGTTAACATGGATCCATTTAGTTAGATTGAAATGCAATCAAAACAAGTGAAACTGCGAGCTACTGCTCACTGATCATACCCCGCCCAAATATTTCGGAAAACAGGAAGTTGTTGAGTGATGAATCTGAAAACGCATCACACGTTACAGATGACTTATATAAAACCTAAAACCAAATTTCAGAAATCGTTGTATTGTAGTTCCTAAAAAAAAAAGTGATGAAAATTTTCAACTTGGATATCATATGTAAAATGATACAAGTGTTCGGTAAACAGGAAGTTGTTGAGTGATGAATCTGAAAACAAATCACACGGTATAGCTGACTTATATAAACCCTGAAACCAAATTTCAGAAATCCTTGTATTGTAGTTCCTAAGAAAGATGCAACGAAAATATTCATAGGACGGACATACTGACAGACGGACTGACGGATGGATGGACTGACGAACAGACGGAGGTAAAACAGTATACCCCCCCTTTTTTAAAGCGGGGGTATAATTACTATCAAATCCATAACTTATTTGTGAAACAGTAGATAAACCCCATGTACCATATTAAAGTGATTTAATGAATGATTGAGGTGGATGTTAGATTGTACCCTAAATGGGAACAATTTTTTACTGCCAAAGGATCTATATAGAGAGTTCCATACTTCTTCGTCAAAGAAAATACTCTGACCAGTAGGGGAAGAAAAACTTACTTTCTGAGTTCTTCTAACATAGCAGCAGCTTGTTGTGGGTTACCCATCTGTATTTGTAGTGTAGTGTTAGCTCTCATTAAAGTCGACATGCTGGCAGAAGATGGCTGAAATATTTAAAATACACCACTGCTTATTCTGTTGTATCAAGCTGTAAATTTTTTTTGAAAAATTAGTCAAGAGTGATCTAGAAACCAAAATTGTTATTAAAACTTACTCCATAGCCCTTATATACAGGAAAACCTTTTGGCACATATGCCATAGCCCTAATTAACAGGAAAACCTTTTGGCATGTATAATAATATTCATTGTCTTTTAAGGACACCATATTCACATACAATCAAACAAATACTTTCATAAAATGACCAACATTGTCCCATCCAAATATGTGAACAATACAACTGTTTAGACAACTATGGGGCACATCGAAATAAAAAATAACTTGGCAGGAAATACTGCATGAAAAAGGGGAAGTATACTGCATGAAAAAGGGAATTTATTCTGGTGGTCTGCATAATAAAGGTGTGTACATAAGAGAAGATATCTCAAAGTAAAAACATAAAGCTGTAAAAATATAAAAGTATACACTATTATGAGTCTTTTGTAGACGAAACATGCTTCTGGCATACAAAATGTCAATCCTGGTATCTATAATGAGTTTATTATGAAAGTTTTTGCATAGGTTACTATATAGTGTTATCAAATAGCAACTGAATGGGATCATCTTCTTAAAAAAAACACAATGGGCACATTTTAATAGAGGTGTGTGGACAAATCATAACAAAGACAGCTTATATTAGGCAGAAGATATTTAACCTACTATGTAAAAAGAGAAATTATGAATTGTAATCCAGTGTACAAAACATCATAAAGTTTTATGGTAAAATGACCCTTGAATCAAGGTCAAAGTCCACATATAAAACAGATCCTGTTGTGTCAGTAGTGTCCTCACATTCTAGCTCACTAGGATCGATGGCTGGTAAATTGTCTTTAATATTTTAATAATATAAGAAAATGAAGCATCTAAGATAAGGGACTAATGAATGTGAAAGTTATTTTGAAAAAAAAGTAATGAAGTCAGATTCATTTTCCTGTATATTCCCAATTTCACAATGCTTATTTTATTATGTCACAGTGTTCAATGATGTTATTTTCATGTATTGACCTTGGGTCAACCAGCATAACTCATTCACAAAAAGAAACTTGAAATTTGGTCTATAAGTAAAGCCTTAAATACTAAAGAGTGGTCCTGAATTCAAAGAAATACTATTGTATATTATAAACAACAACTTTCTATTTAAATCTTTTTCTTAGTGTTTTTTTTGGAATCAGTATGGCTTCTGACAGTGTGATTCCTTCAACTTTCCAAAATATTATTTCAGAAAAGAAACATATAGAGCTAGACATATTAATCAAACAGCCTCATGGACACATTTGTATCCCTGGAATTAAATTTTACTAACCATGCATTTCACTTCATTTCTAAAAGCATTTATAAATACATGTATGAGCAAAAATCAAAGTATTAAACACAAAGGTCAATGAATCTGGCACGAAAACACCTCTGAAGACAGTGGGAAATCACCTTAATACATGATATATATAACAAAACAGACTCCAGAAACTTGTCAACATTTTGTTTACTAAATCTTATTGAAAGTGCTAATATTTTTAAAAAACTGTCAATGGAATATTTACTATAAAAAGATAGTGTTAATATTTCTGACGTAAGAATCCGTATAATATCACAATATTTCACAGCATTTATACAGACAATTGCTTTTATCAATGCGTAAATGAATATGATTGTAAACAGTTAATAGTGCATTTATTTGACTCTTCACTGACCTGTTTGGTGTTTTGGATTTTTCACACATATTTTTGTTATTTTATTTAAAACGAAAAAAAGTGTTAGAAAAGGTGTTTAATTTAGAATAAAGAAATTACATAAATGGGTAACACTACATGCACCGGTCACTTAATTGTGAGGACATAAAGAGGAATTTTTTATTGAAATATCTTATTTCTTACTTTAAGATCAAAATAACGAAATATTTCCTTTTAAAAATACTTGGTAAAACATTTAAAAGACAATGCAAAACAAATTATAGGCAGGAGATATATGAATGCAATGGATCTAACAAGCGACAGTGAAGCCCTGATACTATGTAGTGTCATGCATAATAAAACAGAACTACCAATCCTTACGTCTTTAGGAGTAATATGTAGGAGTAATATAAAAGTAAAAACAAACAAATAATTCATTAGGGATGGACTGCTAATTGTAAGTTTTAAGGTTTTTATCTTGTATTCTGAATGTTGTCTACAAACTGTCAAGCTGTGGGAAGTGTAGCAGTCTCTATACTGTTTACATATACAAAAAAGTATATACATGTATCAGGGTTCAAAAATTGTAAGCCTACATTTTATATGTTAAAATATATTCAGGTTGCTTAAAAGTAAGCAATACAACAACCCATCTTATATTTGAAATTATACTGAAATCATCCATTGACTTTTGATTGAAGAAGTAGCAATAGGACTTAAAATTTTGAATATGAATGACAAGGAAAAAATTGCACCCTTGAAAATGCAACTTAAATCATTAAAACCTTGTTATAAATTACTTTTTAACATATTTGTTGCTAATGAAGCCATATTCTTGTGTTATAAACATTTATAGTTTTTCATATTTTATCATTTTTGTTTAAAATATCATTACTCTTCACTGTATGATGGCCGGTTGCCATCAGATCTTCCATCTTTTCTCTTTTCTCTGTTAGAAAGTCTTCATAGATGTAATTGTTTACATACAAGGATGGCATATTTTCTTTTCTCTATTCTTAGTTAGAAGTCTTCATAGATGTAATTGATTCCACAAAAGGCTGATCAATTCAACAAAACAGAAACTTCTTATATGTTTTTTTCCAGAAGACTTTGGTAAAAAAACATGACATTTTACAAAAATGAAAGCTAGTTATTAATAAATTAATACTATCAAACAATGATAGAAAGCCACGATTTCATCAAGGATTTATTAATATAGTGGAGGAAAAAATGTGTCAAATGAAAAAAATCCCCTTGTTAAATTGTATCTTAATATGTTTTAATTCTTTCTATGTACTACTATGGATAAAAATACTCCCAATTTCAGAAGACAATACATTTTAATGGAGTATTCAGTGTAATTTGGATATAATTCTATGTTTTCCAGTTGCAAATAAGTAGTAGGTTCACAAAGGATCGATGATAGCGGGGCCTCAATGGCCGAATGGTCTAAACTACTGTATCACTAGCCTGTCAACAATGAGGTTGTGAGTTCAAATCCCGCAAAAGGCCGTTCCGCTTGACTCCAATCTTAATTGACTAGGATTGTCAGTTTTCCTACCAAAGGTCCGTGGTTCTCTCCAGGCACTCCGGCTTCCTCCACCAATAAAAACTGACCACCACGAAATAACAAAATAGTGTTGAAAGTGGCATTAAACACCAAATAATCAATCAATCAATCAATGATAGCCCTGACAAATTTGATGTATATAACTGATGCAAAATGAAATTGTTTTTTATACAATATTTTCATTTATATCTTTGCCACAAAAGTCCGACTGGTGGGACCTTAGGTTTTGTACAGTCATATAATTTCAGAAGTTGAAATTTACAGACACAATGTATCATATAAATAATTCCAAAACCAAAAAAAACTGGCTACTGGACTTGTGTAAGTTGTCAGTACCTTAGATTATCCAGTAAATGTCAAGATGAATAACTGAAGTAAAAGTACTGTTCTTTAGATATATTTATCATGTTCTAGCTAGCATTTCATTAGCTTGTTGTTTCATCTACATTCATTCTTTTTCCCTTCTCTTACAATTTTTCAAAATTCAAATTTTGCTCAGTATTACATTTTTTTCCTCTTTCTCAAACCAAGTATGTCACACCTTTCTAAATAGAGAAGTCAACATGACTTTTATTCTACTTATATATTGGACCTATCTAACATTCTCAGTGGATTTGAAATTGGAGAGTGAATATATTAGTTATTTTTCAGTTGAGATTTTTCTGGTAAAAGGGAGATAATCCAATTTGAAATATTTCTAATACCCCTCGAAAAATGCATTGTATGTATATAATAGGTCACATATAAAGTAAAGTATGACTTGTGTAGAAAGTCAAGATGTCTCTAGTAAGTAATCATGAGACTCAAAAGGACAGTGATATTCATATGGTATACCATTTTTTTGATAATTTTGTATATTGATGTATTCTTTGTTCAAAACAAACTACTTAAAGGTCAAGGAACAGTAAATGGACTATGTCACAGATTTTGGTAAAATTTTGCATATAACTTGGGCTCGTTGAATTATATCTGAAAATCAAAAAAAATAATACCTTTATCTCTTTTATTTTTTTTAAATATTACTGATTGAATTCTTTCCCAGAATATACCTCCTTTCTAAAATAAAGAAATTTTTAGATATAAATGCAAGGAAAACATATTACAATGGGTATATTCTGCCCCTGATTGACTACTGCTGTATTATTTGGGGTGAATGTAAAAATGAAGGGATAGCAAGAATTTTAAAACTCCAAAAAAGGGCAGCAAGATTAATTCTAGATGCAGTTCCTTTATCCCCCTCAGCCCCCTTATTTAAAGAACTTGGGTGGATGACAGTTGACAATAGAATAAAATACCACAAATATTTACTTCTATATAAATGTATGCGTATGGAAGCACCAATGTACCTAGTTCAAAAGTTTAAACTGAAATCAGATAATAATCCTTACTCCCTGAGAGGCGTCACTCAAGGTAATCTGATAGTTCCTAAGCCAAAAGCTGAGCTATTTAAGAAATCTTTTGTTTATTCTGGATCAGTGTTATGGAATGGACTACCACACAAAATTCGTAAAGCTCAAAACACTTATACTTTTAAACAAAGTATCAAGAAGTACTTAACACAGTCCTGATAAGATTATGTTTTCTACAATCTATTTGTATATTCTTTTATTTATATTTGTATTTGATTTTTTGACTACATGTACATCTTGAACAGCCTTATATCTTATCATGTTAGTAATATTACATTGAACTAATTGACTGTAAATTAAC